ATAGTATTCAAGCTGAGTTATGAATAGTATTTGTGAACTTCAGTCTATATAGTTGTGTGTAGTCAAGGGCCGCTAGCTCTATTGATTATATGAGAGATAGGAATAGAAGTAAAGAATCCGCAAGAAGCGGGATTTCTTACAGACTTTTGAGATAAAAAGCAGTAGTAGCTTGAATAAGAAATAATATATTTTTACTCAGTATTAAAATTCAGCTTCTGAAGCAGTATAAAATCAACTTTTCATTCAAATACAATTTAAAGATAAGAATAAACGCAATTTGAGTTTCTATTCATATTATTTTGAATAAATGTGATTTTTGAAGAGTTTTTAAACTTTTTTTATTATTTTTGTTATATATTCATACTAAAAGAGAGTAGAGTAGAATCTAATCATCATTATCAGATAGTAGATTATAACTATTCTGAAAAGTAGAAATCTTAACTGCTTGCATTATATCTAGTTTATTATTAGAGTTATTTTTCAATTCTCTAATCTTAACAGAAGTTTGAGAATTCAAATTCTGTTTATATTTAGCTGAAGAATTGAAGTTTGAAGATTTAGATAGTTGAGAGTTTCTTCTTTTTAAGCTTGCAGTTGTGAGTTTACTGATTTGACTATTCTCTTCAGTTCTAGATTTGCTTTGAGCTTCATCTTTTCTTCAGTTCTTTTAAGTTCTTGAAGTAAATATACATTCTTTTGAGCTAGATGCATGTTTTTCTTTACAATTAGAGTATTTAAGCAGAGTGTGTTAACATATTTCATCTCTTTTTAAGCATATTTCATATTTATGCTCACTAGTTTTATAATCTCTGACACAGAATACACATTTTGAGTCTCTGAAACAGAAGATTGCAAAGTATTCATATTTTTAACAGTTTGAATACTGTGTTTGAGCTTTGAGATTCATTCTTGAGTCTTTGTATTTATAAACTCTCATTTTCAAATCTGCTACTCTTACTTCAGAGATCTTTGACTGTTTAAGTGTCTTTATATATACTAGAACAGAGGCATTTCTTCTGCTTTATCTGAACTTAATTAAATTTAGTCATACAGGCTCTTTTCTCAGTTGAATAGAGTTGTATTCTTCTAATTCATTTTTGAGAAGTAGCATTTCTTCTTCATAGTCAAAAATTTCAACTGAAATATTATGAAGAATGAATTTATCTCACTTTTCATCTCTCTCAGATAGAATTATTGTGTTTAACAAAGATTCTACTGCTGATTTTCAGAGATTCTCATTCTGAATAAGGAATTCTGCACTGAATTCAGGCATTGTAGTCAGAATAATAGAGTTTTCAAAGAAGAATGACTTAATTAAAGCTATAACTGATTTTTAAACTTCAATATCAGTCATTAACTGAGAAAAGAACTGCTGATTAATTTCATTTCTGATTCTGAAAATAAGATTTAAGTATAGCTTGTTTCTTTGCAAGATATTCTGATTTGAGACTTTGAGAATAAGTCTTCTATTTCTGAAGATTTGAAAGTTTTTCTTCTTTTACATTTTTTTCTTCACTTTTCTATCAATAGAAGTATGAGTATTATTCTTCTCAGTTTTCTCAGAATTTTGAGTATGTTTTGAAATAGCAGATTTAGAGACAGCAGATTCAGCTGCTTAAGCATATATTTTCTTCTAATTCAAAGAAGAAGAAGAAGTAGAAAAAGAAAAAGAAGAGTAAGATGAAGAGTCAGTGATTGTACTAGAAATTTTCAATGTTTTTTAAACTGTGTTTGAAATTTCAAGTTTGAACTTAATCATCTTCTGTAGTTGTCTAGTCTGAGTATGAAGAATTAACAGAACTTCTTCATTTATCTCACTCAGACACTGCTTTTCAAGAATCTTGCTTGCTTTTTCAAGTTTCTGTATTTCAAGAATTTCTTCTTTCTTTCTTCTCTTCAGAATTTCAATCTCAGAAATAGCATTTGAGAAAGCATCTTTTTTCACATCAACTGAGTGTATTTTTAAACTCATTGTTCTTACTCAATGAAAAGTTGATCAGACTATTTCAATTGAGATATATATTGAACTCTTTTGAAAAGTTGATCAGACTGTTTCAATTAAGAGGTTTCTAAGTCTGTTTTCAATTGAAAAGTTGATTAGACTGTTTCAAAAGAAGAATAAAAGACTTTTATATATAAAACATCTGATTTTTTTCACACTAGTTCAGTAACTAGATAAGATTTTTGAAGAGAATTTAATAAACTAAAATTGATTTTTGAGATAAATCAATAAAATCTTTACAATCTCTTTCTTGAAATACAGTGAGAAAAAGTATGATATCAATTGATAATAAATCACATAATATGACAGTTTTTAAGAGAAAAACTGACAAAAAATAAATCAATTTTTTGCAGGGAAATTGATTAAAACTATTCAATTTTATTCTAAATTATTCAATTCTTCTCACATAATAAGTGTGCAACTCAAATCAGTTAATAAAGAGTGTAAAAAAGAATTAAGTATTAATAAAAGCTCTTCAGTCACTGAAAAAGTAATTCTTACTTAAAAGAATATGAAATTATGATAGAAAACAGCTCTGTTTTTAATTTTTTGTAAGAATATTATATAAAATTCAGAGAAAAATATCTTACTTTTTCAAGAGAAGTAAAAAACTATTTCTAAGATTTTTTTTTTGCATTAACTGCTATAGAAGAATGAGATAGAAACTGCTAAGATATATACTACTATATACTCTCTATCAAGACTTTCTCTCTTCAGAGTCTTGATATTATAGAGAATATAAGTCTGTTTCTATATAATAATATAAATATTATCAGTGAGAGGTAGAGAAACTGATTATTTATATCTCAAAATAGAAGACTTTATCAATGATTATATTAATATAGAGTTAATTCTTAAATTCAATAGAAATTTAGTGTTGCTATTCTTAATTTCTTGTAGAATCTATTGAATATTAAGATATTAAAACTAGATTTAATATATCTCACTATGCAGAAATCAAAGACTTAGTCAGATCTTGAAATATACTGAATTTATAGTTATTAATATGCTGTGAACTTGTTCTATTGACTTATTATCTGCTGATTATATATTAAATACTGTTACTGAGATATCTTTTTGTATTATTCTGTCAGAAATGAATCAGATTGAGAGAGATAGTATAAGAGTAAGACTTAGTATTAATATTTAAATACACTGAAGACAGACTACAGAGATTGCACTTCAGAAGTATCTGTTGATTATATACTTAATATTATCACTGAGATATCTTTTTATATTTTTCTGCTGAGAATGAGCCAGATTCAGAAGAGTGATATAAGAGTGAGACTTGATATTAATGTTTTAAAACATCAAAGATGAACAGAGTTTTCATGAAAATTGTTTCTCAGATATCTTTACAATTACAGATTGAGAATCTTCTAAAATTAAGAAGATTGATGCATATGACTAGGTCTCTTCACCTTACAATTTATATGGCAATCTGGCTCAGAGTTGTGATGTGATAGAGAAGAATGAGGGATAATTCTACACAGAAGTTTCAAACAACATCTGATTCACATTTGACTAGATAACTCCATCATTACACGGGGTATGCAGTCAGCGATGGGGTCAAAATGCTTGTATGATCGAGGGCTTTTCAATGAATCTATCAGCGGGTTCTTATTCGAAAAATTGAGTGAGTTCGTGATGAAGTGGTTGACCGTGTCAATCAGAACTATACTATTAAAAAAAAGAATATTATTATATCTTCAGCTATATCAAGATCTTATTATAGTTTTATATAGCTTATTAGTTCTCTACAGATAATTTCATTTATTTTATAGACTATTTAAACTAGTTTTCAATCACTCTATAATATTATTTAAATATATTATAAAAAGATCTGATTAATGAATATAAGAACTCTACTTTTATATAAGAATAGCAGATTACTCTTTCAAAGTAATAAAATACTGCTAAGATATTACTTCAGCTATTCTTACTTATGAAATAAAAGAAGAGTATTCACTTATTATCTATATAAAATAGCTAGATACTGACTTTTTATTAAAGAAGTCAGTAATTTATTTTCTTCTACTGAAATATATATAAGAGTTACTGTATTTCTTATATAATCTTCTTAGTATACTAAGTATTATATCTGTGATATTCTTGTAATAACTCTGTAGCTCATAAGCTTGCTATTTAAGCAAGATAGTTAAGCTTACTTATATAGCTTCTTAAACAACTATCTCTATATGACACTGCTGACTAGTCACTGCTTCAGTTTCATCATGTTATTATTCTCTCTTTCTTACTTTTTTTACAATGTGATGTATTTTCTGTAAGTCTCTTTTTAAGTAAGTAGTAGTATTATTAATTAACAAGATCTGAAACATATTAATACTAATTAAATAAGTTGATTTTTAACATCTGATAGATATATTAAATGAAGTAGTAGTTAAAATAATAATTATTAATAAGAAATTCTGAATTGACAGTGTTTTTGTACAAAACAGATTTCATAATCTGTGAAAGATGTAAAGCTTACTTAATTGAAAAAATTACTAGCTTGTGAGAAGTTATATAATGAAAGAATTAGTAAGTCAGATTATATAATCTAATAAAATTATAATTAGAAGTAATACTTTTAAATAATGTAATAACTAAAAAGTTTGATTCTGATCCCAGATACAGTTACATAGTCAGTCTAGACTTAACAGTATGTAAAGCATGTACATAATAATGCATTGAATTGAGATTATTCAAATGTACTGAGAAAATGAAAATTCTCACACACTGAGCAGCAGTGCATGAAATAAGTATATTAATAAATATATAAATTGAAATGAATGTAGAGAAGAGTATAAAGAATGTAAATACAGTAGAGAATATCTGTAGAGGAAAGAATAAAGATCAATATCAGAGCTGTACAGACTGCAGAGCTGACTGTTCAGATGAATTCATTTTGATAAGATGTACATGATATCATGTGAGGTCATGTTACAGGGCATTTTACTCGGAAAAGTTGGTTCTTCTATAATATATAGAGAGAAGAAGAAGAAGAAGAAGAAGAAGAAGAAGAAGAAGAATAAATGGTGTTTTGCTCCTAATTTTCAGGGGGAGCTTGGAAAATTCTGTTTTCACAAGCATTTTGTCCGCACTAGTGCATGGCTGTACATCCACGCTTCGACGTCATCCGCAAAAGCCCAGACAACTTCCCCATCACCAAACAGACCTCATGCACACTGCACCAAACGCCGCAACCAATGCCCTGAATCTTTCGGCTTCCCCAGTCCAACACCGACTCCTGGACTTAGACTTACACACGGCAACTAAGGGGTCCCATCTCCAATCCCCACGGCAAAAACGGGAGTTCGAAATCTGTTCGAAATCTAAAAAGGGAAAAAAAGAAAATCCTCGGGCTCCGGCCAACATCCATCTAGTTTAGCATATCCGCCTATACCAATTGACATTTGTTACAATGCCCAATATAGATAACACTCCCCTGCCGTCGTCATTTGATGCGCATCCGTATGTACACCACCTGGATACGTTCCCGCCGCCACCCTCCTCCCTCTGCTGAAGTGCATCATTGATCTATCTAACCCCCAATAATCTCGCAGAGAGTTCTTCCAAGAAACAAAATGGCAGAAAGTCACCCGCCGCCTTAAAGAAGAGCCTCTCATCCCAATAGGTAAAACAACTTCATACCCGTCCCCCGCGAAAAAAAAAAGAAAGGAAAAAGGAAAAAATCCCAAAATTGAAAAAAAGAAGAAAGTCACCCTAACCAAGACATTAACAACACTCACCCCCAGGCTACGCCGCAACCAGCTATGCCCTCTGGCGCGCCTACAAGTCCATGAAAGCCCGCGACTCCGTCGAACTGAACCGCATGTTCCGCGCGCGTATCTACGGACACGCCTTTACGCTCTTCGCCATCGTCGCCGGCGGCATCTACTACGGGCAGGAGCGCAAGCAGCGCAAGGAGTTCGAGAAGGCATTGCAGGAGAAGCAGGATCAGGAGAAGCGGGATGCGTGGTTGAGGGAGCTGGAGGTACGGGATAAGGAGGATAAGGATTGGAGGCAGAGGCATGCTGCAATGGAGATGGCGGCGAAGGAGGCGGAGAAAAAGATGGGTTAGTAGGAAGATATTATTGGGGCGATCTGGGCTGTGAAGATGGGATGGATGTTCAGGGTTTGTCTTGCCTGGTTGCCTTTTGGACTTTGGGCATGTGGGTTTAGGGTTGGAGAGACGCTGGAATCAACCAGTAAGCTTGACAGGTGGCTGGTTGTAGAGGGGAATAGACTGGGCTATGGAAGGCTGCTGGTATCGCTGGAAAGTATACCGTGGTGGGTGCCCTGGCTTGGCCCGATTTTATCACCATATTTTGTATTTTTTTACTACAACTCCCCACCTCCCTAACACTTCTATTTTGTTTTTGTCGGGCTTATCTAGGAGTGATCTAGATTTGTCTCGTTCTTGTTATTTTACTTTGTATATAGGGCTCTTGGATACGGTGCTTCAAATGGAAATACATCTCTTCTTTTTATTATGATTAGTACTATCAGTATTACAGTATTTGTAACTACCATACATTTTCCTCTGACGATCGAGGTACGAAGACCCTAGTCAGTATTGCATGTATAACACACACATCGAGTCAAAATAGATCAATGAGCCATGGTATTCCACCCTTGCTTCCATACTTGCGCATCTTCCCTTTTTCACTTTTACACAAGGCGTTCCTGATCCTAGCGGTGTAGGTTTGGCGAGTGCAGTTTTACATTCAAACATGATAATCATGCCGCCAATTCATCGATATATCGCCGCATGGCATCAAACTCCGTTTTCCCCGTCTAGAAAATCAGCATTCAGCCGTTCTATGCGTTCCGCTTTCGAATACAGGACAGTAACAATACGGGGTGTGTGTACGGCCTGGGAATATAAAGATAAACATACCGAGATTAGGTACCTAATATGAGTCTGGAAAGTATATCCCGGTGGTGGGGAATTTATATTAGTCCCAATATTTGGCATAACAACAAATAACGAAAAGAACCACGAAGGTGCAATCCCCATTCATACCAGATCTGTAACATCTTTACTTCGCTCGAATTCATGCCGAGCAAAAGAGCGCATTTCATCTCTTGCGCTGGATTTGGGAATCCCTATAATCCACAACAGCAAAGGGTGGGAATGATTAGGAGTTGCCGTGTCTTCGTAGAGGGGGAGAAGGGGGAACGGGTGGAGGGGAGGTCGGGCGTACTATTTGTAGCTCGCACAATCTCACGCCAGAGGCTCAGTGCTCGCTTTCGTTGAACGAACTATGTGTGTGGGTAAATTGAGGCTCAAGTTAGCGGAAGTTGGTACTCTCTGGATATGTATTTGTGGATAACTAGATGATTCCCCGCGGAGAGGGCGGAATAAAGATAGATGATAGATATGAGAAAACCTACATGCTCGAGGCTGATGGTTTGCTTTCTGGGTCTGCGCGGCGGCTGTCCAGCAGCCGAGAAAAGGCGAGCTGACCAGCGCATGGATGAATATTGGAGGAATTGCGGATTCCGGTTTCTCCGCCATCCAACTTCGGTATATATTCTGAACTTCCAATGTTATTCACAGACGGATTTCCTGGTTGCTCATATGGAGAACAGTGAGAGCGGCAGAATCAAAAGGCGGTGTGGCAAGCACAGTGAGCGCAGATAAATACGCGATTTATCGCGTCGCAAAATTGTCATTTGTTTTTTGATTTCATCCACCCACAAGAAGGAAAGAATTGACTGAAGCCTACATTGACGAGGCTACTATGCTTACGGTATAGTTATTTGTTTTACCTATCAGTATCTATAAGAACAGGAAGCGGGAATGCTCGGCTCGATCAGAGAGGAAGCTATGTCTTTCCTGCGGAGAGTGCGGGATGGTAGAATCGCGAAACCTACAACAGCATTTTCGACCAACGAGAAGCATGCGCTGGCCACGGAGGCTTTAGAAAGGAACGGGATGGAGAAGATCCTCAAAGAAAATAAGAATGGCGTATCGGATAGATGTAGTAAGGAAGTAGTGCTACCGCGGAGAAAACAAGCGTCATGTAAGCCACGATCAAATCTTCATCCTGCTACATACTTTCGTATCTGACCCGCCGGCCGGTTTAACCCAGATGAACCAAAACCTCCAGCAAAAAGGCTACAACTTGTCGAAAGCGTGAATGCCCTCCCACTTAAAGAATTTATGAATCACTGTATCCCGCCCCGAATCCGCGACTTCTCGATATCCATCCCTTGCAAAACACCCACTATCACCGACCAAGAACGCTATGATACTTATTCAATTGAAATACACTCGTCAAGCTCGATACCCAAGGCAGACCTCGAGTCTTGCTTTTTGCTGGTGAAGCTTACCAGCTCCGAGATGTACAAACACTCGACTACAGGCTGGTCACCTTCGAAGAAGAAAAATGAGATGAAACTGCTGGATATGCGCTATATGCTTCTGGTCCGAACCACCACTCCTGGTAGTCCTCAGCCTCCTCCTACTACGGCGACATCGGAACGTCAAAAGGTTTTAGACAAGGAGGTACAAACTTCTCAAATGGGCGGGCGGAAGCTGGGGGGCTTCCTATCGTTCATGGTTACATACGAAGATGAAATTGAAGTACTATATTGCTACGAGATTCACCTTGCGCCGGAGCTACAACACAGGGGGCTGGGGAAGATTTTACTTGGATATTATGAAGAGATAGGACGGAACATCGGGTTGCAGAAGACCATGTTGACGGTTTTCAAAGCCAATGGGCCTGCCATTCGCTTCTATGAACGGCTGGGATACGAGGAAGATGAGTTTTCTCCCAAACCGATGAGACTTAGGAACGGACATATAAGGGAATACGACTATATGATATTATCTAAGGTCATTGACAACACACAGACAACAAAGCATGACACAAATAATATAGATGTTGTCTGGTGAGTGAAAATAAGGCCAGTGGATTTCTTCCCATGGTTGTTGGAGAGCTTGCCAGACACGATGTTATATTTGCTTGGCATATTTCCCTTTCATATCTGGCCGGCTCTTCTCCCACTCATCGCGAAGGACGGCGAATATCGAATCTGCGACGAGGATTGAGAGCCCCAAACTCCAGACTAGGGTTATCGCATAGAAGAAGTTGGCATTGCCCGAACCAGCGTATATCCATAAATGGTGGAATATTGGGCCAAGAAGCGTTGCATATAGCAAGGCGGCAACAGCGAAAAACGTATAACGCATTACTGGGTTCACGTTAGCAAATGTGTCAAAGCAAGGGAGAAGAATGGGTTGGTACGTACACGGGAAAATATGGCGGTATAGGGGTAGAAGCGCAAAGTAGATGGATACGTCAGAAATGCTTGGGTACGGCTTGAAAATCGCAAATATTCCAAGGATCGCGGTGATCACGAAGAGCGGCTGGGTCCTCATCCTAACGGTGAAAGCTCCAAGGTACGATGCCAGATGTAACCAGAAAACACCCAGGAAAAATTCTCGGAACGGATCGAAAATCTCAATCAAGAAATACCACCAAAGACCGGCATTTGGCGTCAAATCAGGCACCAGGAGTTGAACCCCATACGTCGCAGATATGAACTCCCATGAATTACCAGTAATGATATAAGACATGTAGAGGAGTACCATAACACTCGTGGCAAATAGGAGAAAGTATTTTAGTGCATAGGCGAGAGAACTGCCTGTGAACTTGCCTTGTGATACATTTCGGTCGTAGCAGAGCAGAATGAGAGGCGGGTATACGAGAGCAGGATAAAGCGATAGATAGGAAGCGAATCCCAGTGCGAACATGGAATTGAAAGTATTACCCGCAACTGCATTCGAGATCGCATATAGGATTGCGGAATTGGTGAAACTGTTGGTCGATCTGCCCAGACATGTCGCGATTACAAATGGATTGAATAGGTACCTATAGAGGTGTTAGAATTCATTTTTGAGTAGTTCCTCCTACCATGAATCCCCTATCCAAAACATACCCTGCAGCAATTGAAACTCCATCCCATTTAATATGTTTCCGTGGGGACATGTAAAGTCGAGACACAACGGATTCAGCGGAGTTCGATATGCTAATCAAAGCCGCGGCATTCAGAAGGTCGAGGAGAATGTATACCAGACCGGTGAGGAGAGGATGGCTAGCAGACCGGGGGAGGAGAACAAATATCGGTAGAAGAATCGGGGCCTTGTGCAAGAGCATATTAGATCGTTGCGCCTTGTGTTAGGTCCATACGTTGAGATGTTCAGTATATACCTGGTGATACACTCCGCCGTCATAGGGGCTGACGTTTCGAGTGTATAGAAAGACACCTTCTTGGACTTTCGAGCGACCACAACACACATCAGCAATCAAGAATGTGTCGCATTTATGAAGGAGCACAGTTTCAACTCACGCCTCTTAAAGCTGCTGACCGGTGTAGAAACTTCCACTCGACCCGTCAGAAGGTCTGGGAGCGTCGGGAAAAGTGTAAATAGAAGAACGCGGAGAGCGATTGCGCCCCCGAACACGCACAGTTTTCTTCTATCGACCGGCATCATGAATAGAAATTGCGAAAGAAGCTCATGATATTAGGGTAGTAAACAAAAACGCCTGTAATTGGGATGAACGAGCGTTGGCTACAACTAAGAAATCATTTGAATGTTGTTCATATATATCTATCTCCCCACGTATCAACTTTCCATCGCGCGGTTATTTAGCGGCTGTTGACGCACGGGCCACATCGAGCTTTTCTCCGACTGGCGGCACAAGTTTATCTTGGGAGAGTAAACTTTTTTTTCCCTCAAAACACCTAATATCCAACACTGAAATTCGTAAGGCTTTGCTGCAATTTGAGACAATTCTGACCTGAAAAATGGGGAAAATAAAGAAGAAAGGTATGGAATTCCCATTGTATGGGTATTACGGCTGAGGGTAGTTTGCTAACGCTATTTTATTCATTCTACAGGCACCTCTGGCCAGGCGAAAAATTTCATCACCAGAACTCAGGCAGTGCGCAAGCTGCAGATTTCTCTCCCTGATTTCCGCAGATTATGTATTTTCAAGGGTGAGGGAGATTATTTCTTTCTTCTGTTTTATTACAATGTCTAATTCGATTTATACTAGGTATCTATCCCCGTGAGCCTCGAAACAAGAAAAAAGCTTCGAAATCCGCTACCCCGAGCACCACCTTCTATTACACAAGAGATATTCAGTATCTTCTTCATGAACCTTTGCTTAAGAAATTCCGGGAGCAAAAGGCCCTTGCCAAGAAGATTGCTAGGGCTCTCGGCCGTGGAGAAGTTGGAAGTGCCGCAAGACTCGAAAAGAATAATGCACCAAAGCTCTCGCTGGATCATATTATCAAGGAACGGTATCCGACATTTATAGATGCACTTCGGGATTTGGATGATGCTTTATCGCTTCTCTTTTTGTTTGCCAATCTCCCCTCAACGACCACTGTGCCGCCTAAGACTATTACTCTCTGCCAGCGCCTATGTCATGAGTTCCAACATTACTTGATCGCCACTAATTCTCTCCGAAAATCCTTCCTCTCAATTAAAGGAATATACTATCAAGCTACAATTCAAGGGCAGGATATAATGTGGCTGGTGCCTTATCGATTTGTCCAAAGAGTTACTGGGGATGTGGACTATCGAATTATGGGCACCTTCGTAGAGTTTTACACTACTCTGCTTGGTTTCGTCAACCATAGACTCTACACTACGATCGGCTTGGTTTACCCACCCAAGTTTGATAAGTCGAGCGATGAACGTGGTGCTGAACTCGCAGCCTTCACCTTGGAAGGCCGAAATTTTGGCGAAACACAGAAGGCTGTTGAGGGTTCTCAGCAGCTGAATGGGAGCACTGAGAAAGAAGCGCCTGCATCAAAGGACCTTCAGGCTAAGGTCGACAACATACTCGAAAAGACTAAGCTCGATACGGAGCCTACTGGGCAAGCGACCGAAGCCCAGGAGGAAAATACCGATGCCATCGACACGTTTGAGCCAATCGCACCTGAAGCTGATACCTTACCACAACCACAAATCAGTGGAGATGAAGCCGGCTCGTTATTTGCTCCATTCACCTTCTATATCTCCCGAGAGGCTCCCAGAGCACCTCTCGAGTTCTTGCTTCGTTCTTTTGGGTGCAAGCGTATTGGATGGGATAGCGTTCTTGGAGATGGCGCATTTACACAGAACGAGTTAGATCCTCGCATAACACACCAAATCGTTGACCGCCCCCAACTTCCTGAATCTGCACTCCCCCTGTTACCCAAAAACCCCGAAGATGGAACTGCCGCTTTGAGGGTAAGACCAGGGACCAGGGTCCCTGGCCGGACGTATGTTCAACCTCAATGGGTGTGGGATTGCATAAACGAAGGAAGGCTTCTGCGACCTGACCTTTATGCACCTGGCGCTACATTGCCACCACATCTGAGTCCCTGGGTCAAACCTTCCAAGGGTGGCTACGACCCGAGAGCCAGCCTCGCTGATCAAGAGGAAGAAGGAGAGGCTGAAAGAGCTGCTGAAGCCGAAGAGTACGATGACGATGAGCTCGAGGAGAGTGAGGATGAAGCTCCTAAATCAAAACAGAGCAAAAAATTGCTTGCTACGCTGGCACGTGACTCGGACGATGAAGAAGCGTCGATTAATGGCGGAATGGACATTGCTATGGCAGAAGACACGGACGAAAGCAGCGATGATGGCGATGATGCAGATGAATTCGAAGGGTTCGACCAGGACGAAGACATGAGTTCCGAGTCAGAAGACGAAGAAGAGAAAGCTCGCTCGCAACACCAGAAGGAACTTGAAGCCGAGGCTGCTGGCCTTCCATTCTCGGCCGCTAGCCAAGCTGATAATGGAGCTGCTAAGAGCGAAAAGCAACAAGGACCTTTAGCTAAGAAACGAGCGGCCCAGAAGAAGAAGGAAGAGGAGGAGCTTGAACGTCAAAAGATGATGATGAGTCGCAAGAAGCGCAAGCTGCTCGATAAGATGATTTACTCGAATAAGAAGCAGGATGCGGAAGCGGAGAAGTTGAGACAGAAGCGAAGAAAGATTGAGCAGAGTCTTAAGAAGTAAACGAAAAAATGTTTTTTGGGTTGCGTTTGGATTTAATATGTAGTTTTTGTGGCTCTTCGTTTTTTTATGATATCTGAGAACTGGCAAATGTTGAGGCTGCCACAACAGGCAATTTGCGTGGACATCGATGGGAACACTTTGTTTGGAGTCCGAGCTAAGCTATTTGCAGTCTACCTAAAATATCATAAGCTAATAAAACGTGTTTTGAATAACTCATAGTTTCGGGACATCCGACTCTGCCAAGCCGGCTTGCCGAAAAATATATATAATCACGTGACTCGTTTCTCGCACGTTGAAACGCAGCGACATCAGGAAAAGACACTCTAAAACTTGTATAACTAGTCTTCAGATAGGGCTCTTAGTCCTTCTCCGCTACTTTTTCCCCTTTATATGTCTCGAAAAAAAACGTCTTATCATTTTTTTTGGTCCAAATACTCGACTCCTTTTGCAACCAGGCCGCGAGACATTACCGATCACGCTGTCTCAACGTCAAATATGGACTGTCACTACTTGCCCTCACCCTCCTCATCCATATCTAACCAGGAAATTTTGATTTCCTCTTTTAGCTAAGGCGAAAATGTCAATGCTGAGTTCTCAATGGGTGGATTCACAATCCTCACCCGTAAGCCCATCATCATATCATCAAGTTCGGGAGGATCCGTCAAATATGCCAGTAGAGGCAGATTCTCTGGAATACGAAGTGGACATGATTGCTGAGCAACAATTTCCGCAAGTAGAAACTTCTGATGATGGAACTTACGTCACCGAAGATAGCGATATCTCACAACCGGACAGTAATTCAAATGCACAGGAGGAAGATCAACCAACTATGGAAGGGGATGACTACGATTCATCAGGAGATTCCCCTATACCGGAAAGACCAAACAGATACCTTGGCCCTCCATCAACATGGCGTGCGAAGACGCGACAGGAAAGGAACGAAATAAGTTCTTTGGAAGCGCTCCGTGCCAGAGATCTATCTGTTCATCTATTCAACGCGTTCGCACTCAAAAGGAGAGCGATAGCAATCAAGGCTCAAAAGCCAGAGCAAGATCAAAAGCAACGGTCTAACGACGAAGAAGACGAGTGGCTATCGTCGAAATTCATGCCGACGAAGCAGTGGACTGCATGGCCTCTACATGCAGACGAGGTGCCAAGAGGAGATTCACATGTACTGAAAGACGACTCTGACATCTGGAATGTGGCCGGTCCATCCGACGGACGTCCTAGTGCAGAGCTAGAAGAGTGCCTCATGGCCCAGATGTTGAAAACTGCTAAGGAAAGGTTCGAAGCGCGAGCGTGGGACAACAGAAGGCCTCGTGCTCGCCAGAGGTCCAAAGGAATGGCTTCTACAACTGATACGGGGGGTGCCATAAGCACGGGTATGGAAGAATCTGATGACGATGTTGGCATACATGCAGAACCTCAACTCCGGCCGGTCGTCCAGGCGGATGATGACAAGTCGAGATCGATACTCCGGCCAACAGCACGGCACATTCTCAGCGACTTTGATAATATCCTTATGAGCTTACATCACGCCCGACAAGCCTATGTCTCAACTATAGATTTATCTCAGAGCGAACATGAAACGGAAGCTCAGGAGGAGTTAACTTCGAGACCCGTGTCAAGATCGCGCGCTGTATCGCTCAGCAGCATGTCGGGCTCCCGAAGAATAAAACGATCACGCCATTTGTCTTTGAGCAGGGACCCTCCCGCTACATCGGACCATGAAGGAAACATCGAACTATCCGATGCGTCTAATCGTAAATCACGTGTGTCGAATCGCCAACGGACAAGGTCGGGTACTCCTCGGCGCTCCCGCAGCCGATCTCCTGGTTCTAGAGAATCCAAATTGGGCCTACGGGATTGGAGTGATATTGTTGGTATTGCTTCAATCTCCGGGTGGCCAGCATCGGTTGTTATGCGAACGGCGAAGCGCTGCTCCGAACTATTTAAGGAAGATATGGCATTCAGAAAGCTAAACGAAGGCCAACTGGAACTAAACGAAGGGAATGAAAATCGCTTGCCTACGTGGGACTATGTTGAGGAGGAAGGATCGGGGGAGTCTAGATCAGATTTTGAAATTCATAACATTACCAGCCGTTCCCGGAAAAGAGGACAGGGCTACGGTTGGGAGATTAACTGTCCCGTGAAAGGCTGTTCTCGCTCGACGAAAGGGTTTTCAAGGACTTGGAACTTAAACCAGCACATAAAAAATAAACATCCTAGTCTTGCCCTTAAAGGTCGTCCAAGCAAGTCCGCACCGCTAACTAAAGAATCTAAGTGAGAGACGGAATACTATTGTGCTATCTAGTCCATTCGTGTGACTATCGGAGTTTGAAAACCAAATCAGGCCAACGAAGACTGAGGGCCACATAATCATAATCGCATTACCCAGACGTATTAAATACAACGAAGCAATGGTATCAGATCTGATACGCCCCCCTCCCCGCCTCCCCGGAAAAGATATCGATGTTTATTAAGCAGGAATACAAGGTCGTGGATAATTGTTGTTTGTCGTGAACGACGCGCACTGAGCTTTTGTAATTTTTATGTTTCCTTTGGTCGCATTTGAGTCCTCACTGCCCCTGAGCCTCCCAAACCTCCTCCCCGAGCACTCTCAGCTCCTTATCTGGGATAAGGATATCGGCTTCTACTGATGTTGACGGGTGGCGAAGCATCACCCTATCAAACGGCAATCTCAGCGGTGCGCCCGTGGTGATTACCGATCCATCCGCTTGTCTAACAATGCTGGCCTCTTGCATGAATTTGGTAACCCTTCTATGCGGGTCTGTTCTGGTCGGGTGATCGACGGCCTCCCACCTTCAGATGGCAATCCCTCTTGTCGCCATTCTGAATTGGAATAGTCAGCGCAATCTTCACATCTCCATCTAAATTTTCCAGCCACCAACGCGCATCGGCATCAACCTGACTCTGGCCCTCTGAATCTGCAACCTCCACAACCATGCTTGGCGATTGAGTCGTTCTACCAGCTGGCAGGGTGCGTGGACTATTAGAGCAATCCGGTTGCTTGTCTCTCTGTGGGCCGCGGACTCTGGCGCTGCCTTGCAGGCCCAGTTCCCTCTCAAGGCCCATTGATTTGATGGAATTTTCTAACATCCTTTCAAATACCCGACTGGCTTTCATGCGGAAGTTATACCAATTTTTGGACGAGAATTTTGAGAGGCCCCATTCTGTGATATGATTGGTTAAAAAAATGCACACCACACGTGACCGCCCATAGAGGAAGCTGCAATTTATTTGCTTGCTTGTTTATACTGTTTGTACTGTTTGTTTTGCTTTGTGATGCCTGGTTGTTTGGTGTATATTTTGTTGAGTCCCGGGTTGATCGGCCCTTCTACGAGCAGTGCGCTGGTGGTGACTGAGCTCTTTTGCCCCAGTAGCCTACATATTTGTGTGGCAGCATGTGAGGCCCTACCGGGCCTCGCTTAAGATAACTACCTAATTAGACTAAGATCTAGACCAGTTGCATAGCGCCTGTACGGGATGCAGATACCAACTTACTAAGGGCCTGTTCGGTGCGTCTGTGTGTACTCGTTCTTTTTGTACGGATCTCCACTTTTTTTAAAAAGTACAGCCCCAATATCATGACTGTTCGGTGGGCAGAGCGTCTGTACTAATAATACAGCTGCTTTTTACAAAGTACAGATGAAAATGACCAGGTGTTTGGTGGATTGAGCGGCTGTACTTGCATCTCTTGCCAAGATCTTATGAATAAGCAGTATTTAACTTCAACAGTGTATGATAGTGTAGAATAGCACTTTTAGAGACAATATAGTGTAGAATAGTGTAGAATAGTGTTCATAGTGGAGATAGTTAACTAATATTGGTTAGAAGAAAGCTCATAAAAATGTGTTCTTTTTGAACAGAGTCCAGAGTCAGTTCAAAAAGAACGTGTTTTTGTGAGCTTCCTTTCTCCATCTCAGAGCAGTGGAATAGTGTGGTGGCACAACGCCGGCTTGCTACTAATAATTGGTAAATACACTATTTTTAATGAGATCCACTATTGCGTTCAAAAAGTACGGACGCACCGAACAGGCCCTTAAAGATGTAATCAATCAATCAATCAATCAACCAAGTGGATTCCTTGCAAGCTATAGCAATCAAGCGAGAACCCAGCGCATTTAGGCTCTGCACAGGTGGGAAGATATTAAGTCCGCTGTCTAAGGCCAGTAAATATCTTGGTGATCCAATAGCCCCCTCGGACGTACGGAAGGAATCACGTAGGGCCCCAACTCATCGATTTCAACTAGACGGCGTAGCATCCTCAGTAGAAGCAAGAAGCAAACAAAAGACTTGAAAGAAATTACAACCATGAATTGCTAGAGGCCTATTCAACATTCCTCCATATATCTTTCTTAAAATCAACATCAGTGGCAAGTTGAATGCAATATCAATTGAGCTCCTAGGCCGGAATGAAATATGAAAAGCACACAAAATTTAAATTATATCAAGTACGGAGTATATTGTCCAATCATAGGATGATTCACCCAAACATCCAACCCTCTCAATATCATTAATTCTCAAGGACATGCTCATTAACTAAGGCCTCAATGACTTCAGTCATCCATTCCTGGCAGCATGTGATAGGCTCTTGAGAATAGAGCCGCTGAGGACTCTTGAACTGCTTTTTTGGTGCAGGAATTGCCTCACAGATTCCCTTGATGTGAGAGAGGTTTGCTGCTGATTATCTCAGCGGGCTCAGACCCTCTGGCTCGGTTTGAACGGGTTGCAGCATTATTATTAACTAGTTAATCCGGCATGACACTAACCTACTTTTGATACAAGTCATGTGCTCAGAGCAATCCTCGCCAGAGGGTCTGAGAAGAAATGATTCCATCTTCAATGGAGATTCCTGAGATTTACAAGGATTTTTCAGATTCTTCAACTTTGACTTTCTATTACTATATATTCACATATCTTTGAGATTTGAAAATCACCTTAGCTTATAGCTAAAGAGAAGAAGAATAGAAATATTTCTTTAATATTTCAAAAAAATCTATATTTAAGATAAATGTATACTCTTGAAAATGATTATATTTTTTAATCTCAGAATTTCTAAGAGCTTTTTTTTGTATGAGAAATTGGATCAAAATTCCTGTGTTCAAAAACACACTGATCAACTTTGAGATGATACTTCTATTCTAAGAACTTGAGATATAAATATAAAAATCAGATACATCGCGAGAACATTGTTATTTTAAGGTTTCAAGATGATACAGAAATGATGAATCTATGAAGTTGAGTTGAAATTCTCTTTCATACTCAGAGTACTGAGCAAATCCTTTCTGTGTTACTAATAATTAGAAACTGTTTCTTCTCAGATGCTTCACAAGATATCATCACTCACATGACCTGATTTTACTATTTGAGTTAGCTTATTGCTTATTTGAGGTTAGCTCATGACATAATCATCAATTCAGTGTTAAAACAGCAATGAATATCTGAAGAAGCATCTGAGCTTGCTGAGATAAGCTGCTGACACCTGTTGATGATTACTACACTATCTACTCTAGTCACGTGCCACTTCAATCTATTCATTTAGTGTAACTCGCGTAGTTAGATTACAACACAACACAATAACATTATTCTTCAAGAGGTTATGAAGTTCTCTACACAATGAAAAGCTGTAAAATAATGTGCAATTGACATCTTCATATATTGTTACATGTGCCTAGATATTCTCTTATTGAATTGATCAAAAGATAGAGCTCATGATCAATTTAAGATCTGATGAGACATCTGACTTAACACAGAAGTACATTTTAAGAAGATAAGATGTTCAGAAAACCTCTGAGAATTAAACACCAGAATCTAGCAGACTGTTATCAACACTAGTGATGAGCTGAAAAGCTGTCTCAGAGGCATTTGAACCAGTTGAAGAGACAATTGATGAGTTAAACAAGTTAAACAATGAGTACAAAGATTCAGTTGAAGACATGATATCAGATAATACAGATGATTCAAGTGATTAAAGTAATAATACAAGTGAAGAAACATGTATGAAGTTGAATATTACAAGGCTCATGCTAGAAGTCAAGTGATTGAAGATAGAAAGAAGTGAATTCTCTGCATTAAATGAAGATATCAGTGCAGATTTAGCAAACTATCTTCAGCAGAAGAAAAGAACATCTGCAATAGTGAAGATTCTTAGTGAGTTCAGAGACCAGGTCAGACTCATTAAGAAACCAGTCATTCTCACTGACTGTCACGCTCCCGGCCGCGTCAAGGCCCCGTTGCGGTTTCACACGGCTCATCACTTTCATGCGGATGATTTCATCCATCCCGCAGGCTGTCTGAACCGGTTTCCAACCGCTCTATGACATCATTCAAATATATCATAGAAAGATTCAATTGATGAATATAAGAACCTCACTTCTATACAAGGTCAGCAGATTACTCTTCCTTGGCAATGAGATGCTGCTGAGGTATTACTCCAGCTATTCTTGTCTGTGAAATGAGAGAAGGGTATTCACTCATTGTCTATATAGAATAGCTAGATACTGGCTTCTCATCAAAGAAGTCAGTGATTTGTTTCTTTTCTTCTACAGAAATAATATACACAAGAGTTACTGTGTGTCTCATACAATCTTCTTAGTATACTAAGTACCATATCTGTGATATTCTCACAATAACTCTGTAGTCTATGAGCTTGCTATTCAAGTTAGATAGTCAAGCTCACTCATACAGCTTTTCAAACAACTACTTCTACATGATATTATTAACTAGTCATCACTTCAGTCTCATCATGTTACAATTTGAATTGCTTGACCTGATTACACATTTGAATCAGTCAAGCTCTAACAGACTGATATGACCTCACACACTCATACTGAGACTGACCTGACCTCACTCTCTGAGGAAAACACTACATCATTTCCTAGAGTGTGTACACCTCTATCTCAGCAGAAATCCGAGATTTCTGAATCTGCTGTGCATTTTGACATGAGCTCTTCAACTGCTCTGTCACTGCCGCGGCCTCTACACACCTACATCTATCATAGAGATAGAGAGATTAAGATCAGAGATTCACTGAGATATAAGAGAAACATCTTGTCTGAATTTCACAGCTTTATCTGTACTCTTGAACAGAAATTCCACCTTAACCTGAGCCAGTATAATACTCACAAGATATGAGTAATATATGCTGCCAACCTTCTTGAAGACATCTCTGCAACTACTTGAATCATTAAGAAGAGAGAGCTTGAGCATATCAATACTGTCATGACTTGAGAAGAATTCAAGAACTTTCTACTGAATCAAATTGAAAATCACTGCAACTGCAGCTTCACAGCAGTACAGTGATTCAACTCATTATATTAATGAGATAATGAAAATCCTTCTGATTTCAACACAAGATTCAAAGAATATTGAGAGAAATTGACTGATAATTTGAATCAATTAAAAACACAGCTTTACCTTGCAAAGCTGACTCACAAAGTGCAGACAATAATATCACAGTATCAGAGTTCATCAATCAATTGCACTGAGCTTGTCAACCTGGCTTCTCAGATCTATTTGAATAATCAATTCTCTGAGAAAAAGGTCAACAAGATTTCTTCTAAGTAATCAACAACAGAATCTAAACAGTGTCATGACAGCTTCAGTGTGAAGAAAGTAAAGAAGAATTTCAAGTATTCTGATTCTTCACTCACTGTGAAGAAATATTAAAAAAGATTTGATAAAGATCTCTGTTTCAACTGCAGAGCTGATGATCACTATATCAGTGATTATAAGAAGCTGAAGAAGAGAAGAAATTAAGAAGACATCTTCTTAAAGTTAACTTCTCTTCTGACAAATGTATCCATGGAAGATAAAGAAGAGAAAGAAAAGAATTGATAATTCTCACATCTCTGAGTTCATGTTATGATCACAATGTATACTCTGAATGAGAAGATATCAGTGAGATGTCTACTTGACTTCAGAGCAGATGCTAACTTTATATTCTATTTCTTTTCTTTGATGAAGAGTTGAAAGAAGATAGGTTCATCAGATCATATGAAATTTACAGATGAAATAAAATGCCACTGTTTTGACATAATTTAAGCAAAGTATGTGATCACAGACTCAGAAGAAATCTTCAAGAAGAGCAGTCTGCTTCTTCACACAGTCAATATCATAGATGA